GGGGGGGGGGGGGGGGGGGCGCTCGCTCGCAAGGGATGGAGATAGAGCAAGAGGGACCTTGCGAGCTTGCATTGCGGGCTCAGGCGTGCAGATCTCTCTTCCTTCCCCCGAGCGAGTGGGTGGATTGCTACGAACCACATATGTGAACCGCCTTTGCACTGAAGATCTTTGTTCCGCTCCATTATACACTCGCCCCGGCGGCAATTGCATCATGCGTGCGGTCTTCCCCCTGGGGCTCTTGTCGTGGCTGTGCCGTCTAGTTCCGGATGTTCTTATGGAGCTCCTGATGTCGTTTGACCTCTCTCAGCTCCCTTGTCCCTCTTGACTTTGCTTTGCTTTGCTTTCCTTGTCACCCCTCCCTCGTCACCTTTGGTTTGGCTTTGGCTGTGCTTTGCTTTGCTTTGCATTGATTGTTTCCCCTCCCTCCCGCATGGGGGCGTCCCCTATCGAAGAATAGGCGGTCTCGTGGACCCGCTCGGGTGTGTGTGCATCTGGACCGGTCTGAGACGGGCTGCAACGCAGTGTCAAAATTTTCGGCCCGCAGTCTCATGCGGGCGAGAAATGGGTTAGAGAAGACATAAACAAACTGTTTTCTCCACAGCGAGCGACCGGACAAGGGCAAGTCTGATACCATGTGAACCGGCATGGTGTGCTGATCAACATGGGGGTCACGGCATCCCCTCACGCCTTCACCATCGAGAATTCTCCCGAGACCGACTGACAAGGGGAGATCCACCGCGCCACACAGAGGGCGCGTGAGCACAAGCTGAGTCGGCCATTCGAGAGCCACCGACAGCCACTCTCAACCACTCATAGGTCCCATCCCTGCCCGGCCCGATCTCACCTCTGAAACAGCCGAGTCCCATCCCGCGAGAACGCACCCATCAACCTGACGGCCATCCGAGGGCCCCTGCCCCGATCCTACCACATCACAGTGACCACCGTCGAGTGCCGCACACGGTGAGCACCAACACGCAGGGAAAGCTGACACCATCACACACGAAAACACGGGAAATCTGTATGGGGCAATCACTTACCCTCCTGTTTCTCTTCTTGCAGAAGGGCGAGGCACTTGGCGTTACCTGCATGCAGACCGCCTCTGCATGAGCTGTCGAATCATGCAAGAATCACC